AGGTGTCCATGTGTCCAATTTCATATGTTAGTTTTCATAGAACAGCATGCCCCAGTGAATTTTGAGGGTGTCCATGTGTCCAATTTCATATGTTAGAGCCCTGTGTTTGAAGAGCCACCAGAGAATAACCATAAATGTATTTGAAGGGCCTTGCATTTCAATGACTGTTTAGTCAAATGTAGTTTAAGGATAGAGAACACTAATATGGCAAAGCCAGAGGCACCTTGAGGTTGCCCATTTACAGTCAGCACTGAGACAGCAGATTAAGCAGATCTATAGGTCACTGAGTCTTAAGGTCCCACACATATCCTTATGCATGTAAAGCTTATGCAAATCTACCTTCTCTTCTCTGTTTTGGCAACCTAAACTAGCCCTACCAGTGAGCAGTGGTCTAATTTCTAATAATTCTATTTCAAACACATGTAGAGAAATAAAAATATTTAGCAGTTGGCCAAAGAATAACACACATGGGCACACAAATGCAGTTCTTGCAAGCTATGCACTCAAAATTCAGTTAATACTGAAGTATAACTAAATTTGATTTGTGTTAGTTGTTATGAACTATTTTCACGTAGTATTGTTTTTTTTATCAAAGGCACCATAGAAAATACTTACTCTATTGTCTCTGCCAGCAAGTCTTTGGAGATACAGTACTCTCTTTTCTTGTAGAATGAGAAATGACTTGAATGGTGTGTTACTTTGAAATAAGTAAATGGTATCTTCTGCTTTTTTAAAATTATGGTACCTTGATTGAATTGGTTGAAAACAGGTCTTAACTTAATGTTTGCATGCACGTTTATGTTTGGCTGAGTTGAATTAGCTGAAAGAAGATCTGGTTTTCATGGGTACTTACAGAGTGAAATGGATGAATGAACTAGATGAAAAAAGTCAATTATGAGTATCTGGATATTACTAAAAATAACAATTTAAATGATCAGTGCTGTCATGTAATCAGTGTGGTGTTCCACGACAACACATTTCTAAAAGATTTTGGGAGAAAGTAACCGGGAATTAGAGAAAGCCTTTGACTATGAATCTTATCATTATTGTCAAATAATAAAAGACTCTGTATGTCAGCTTGAGAGCACTTTGGGATTGCTTTTCACATGGTCCTCAGAATGGCGGCTATGCATGATACAAGTCTGTTTTTTCTTTATGGCATCAGCTTGGGGGACATGCCCCCAGAATCTTTTCTTTCACAAATCCTTCCCAAGGTTTCCATGTGCCTCCTGCCACCATGTAGAAATATATAGTTCCCTCAAGGACGAGGGGTTGTTTTTCACCTGTTCTGACATTTTGCACAATTGCAGAAGTAAAAACAAAACAAAATGCACAAACCCTTAAAATTAGAGAAGTGGCAAAAACATTGGGCACATCCCACCTGCTCTCCCTTCTTAGATAACAGCCTTTTTGGAAGTAACAAAAGTTACATTCTGTGCACCCAGTGATATTTTTAAAAAAAAAATTGTAAAAGGAATGCCATTACTGTATATCCTTATTATCCTCCAAAGTAATGTCCTGCAGGTAGTCTTTTTTCTTTTAAGCCGCTATTTCAAAGCTCTGTTTTCCATAATAATCTTTTTGTCATTTTTCTCATTAACTGCACTTCAGTACTAGAATGAGTTTAATTAACATTATTGTTTTTCAGCTTTTTTGCAAGCTACCTTGAGTCCCAGCCCTGAGAGAAGGGTACCATATTAAATAAATAAATAGACATCACATGCAAATTGGATGTCAGGCCAAAAATAAAATAAAAGTTAAAAAATAAAGACAAAAAAAGTGTTCGCACCTTGAAGACTAGCTGCTATGTAAGTCCAATTGTCCACGAAATATTAAAGTACAGCAGTTAGTCTTTAGGGTGCCACAATATTTTTGTCTTATTATTTTATTTTTATTTTACTTTTGGCCTGATATGCTAGCACAGACTAACGAAGCCAGCTCTTGTAAAATGCAAATGGCTGTTGGTGCAGTGGATTCTGGCCCAGCCCTCGTGTCAGGTAATATTAGATAGATACACTGTTCAGGTTATTATGAGTTTTTATCTTATCCATCCAGGATGTTGCACATGTTTCTCCACCTACTTTATCCTCACAACAAGCCTTTGAGTTGTAATAAAGTGAGAGACAGTGACTGATTCTCAGGCTGTCCTATGAAGAACTTTTGAGCTATCTATGGGTGTGCTATAGCAAACACTTTAGTCATTGCACATGTTTAGCTGGATTGATTACAGTGTCCAGGGATTGTAGGGAACGATCTAATGGATCACTCTTTTCATAAATCTCTTGAGAACTTGAACATTTCTCTACATTAAAAGTGGAGACACTCTTTTTTGATTCTACAGATAATTGTTACACTCTCTGTTGGAAATTTACACCCCCTATACTATGTGTGTTAAACTTCTAGAGTGAGGGTTGCATTGCTATCACTCCCAACCAACCGTACAGGGTCTACATCTTGTTTAGGAATTAATCCCATTGATCTCAATGGGGCTTACTTCTGAATAGGCATGTAGAAGACTGCACTCTCACACCTCTCTGGGGGAAGAGTTCTGGAATGAAGAAAAGCCCAATGAAAAGACCCACCTCTTCCACTGATTATCCAAAATCTCACAGGTGTTACAGTGTCTGAATTTTAACATGACTTGAGAGATATCCCCATCCTCTGTCTGAACTGTGTATTCTTTTTAAAAGAACAGTTTATGTATATGACAAAATACAGGCACCGGCAAGTCACGGATGTGTTGGAAGAGTACTGAACATTGGGATGTCCTCATAGTACTTGCAAGCATGGAATGCTGAGACATAGCCATTCTTCAGTCTGCTTTAAAATGTCATTGTTATCATGCCTTCCAAATAAATGAAACCTGTTGCATTCTGCCACTTAATATAAACTTTTGGTAGTTTCTACTAGGAGCAGACTTGCCATTCCCCAGGTTGAAGCAGTTGCCCCAGGCAGCAGAGTACACCAGAACTGCCACCAGTGCCCATTCTCTGCTGCCTGACCTGAGTGCTGCTGTTGGCTTATTTCTCTAGTTCAGTAGTTCCCAGCCTCAAGACCCCAGGTGTTCTTCCCCATTAGCTGTGCTGGCCAGGGTTTCCAGGAGTTGTAATTCAGGAACATCTGGAGACAGCTAGGATAAAGAAGGAATACTGCCCTCTTTACAGACGTCTTAGGGCTTGTGATTTAGAAGAGTGCTTTACGCAGAGAAGAAATGCCATGTGAAAAGGGGAAAATCATTGTAGCAATTTCCTTGAACAGTTGTGCTGGGTTGTATATTTTTGTGGTTCAGGAGTATTGAGTCCATTCAGTGTGTGTGTGCCTTACTTTGATCAAATCTGCAGATTGCAGTTGCTGCTGGGCATGTAATTGCAGTCATCTGGATCACATGGATGAAAGAATGAGATGGAGACTGCTGACAGTGTTCCGCCAATGATTAACACAAGCATTGTTCAATCATAGGGAACCTTCGCCTCATGAAAGCACATAAGAACCATTGTGCCAGAACAGATACATCAAATTACATCTAGTCTGGAATTCACTTTATACCAGCAAGAGTCAAGTACCTCCAGAGGCCTTACAAATCCTTTGTAGAAGCAATTGAAGGAAGACCATAACATTATGTGGTAGTGACTCCTGTCATGGAGAGAGATAGTTACAGGTCCTGAATTTACTGTCTGTCAGTTTCCTTGAGTCATTTGAGTTCTCATTAAAAACAAAAGTAATATTAAAGTATTAAAGGTCAGCCCTGTCATGAGGCAGGGTGAAAAAATCATGACAGCCATTATAGCACATGGTTACTTTACTTACTGTGATTGTATTTTGATTGCCAGGGAATGCAAAAAATGCAGGTAAGACAATCTAAAACAGGTATCAAAATAACTTGATTGGGCTTGAGTACTACCTGGGCTCAGCATTACCATACGTAGAGGGAAGCTGCTATCTTAAAAGATGTTATGGTGGCAGTAAGTGTCAGAGAGTGTATACAGTGGTACCTCGATTTACAAACTTAATCTGTATTGGAATGGCGTTCATATATCGAAAGGTTTGTAGGTCGAGGCAAAATTACCCATAGGAATGCATTGAAAACAATCTAATCCGTTCCGGCTGTTTTTCGTTCTTATGTCGAGGCGCTGTTCACAAGTAGAGGCCTTACTTCCCATAGGAACTAATGCAAAGCAGGTTAATCCATACTCTACCACTAGGGGGAGAATTTTTCTTCTTCTTTTGACTAAGATGAACTTATAAATGAAAAAAACCTTTCCTGCCCTTTTTTTTGACCTAAGTCGAAGCTCCGTTCGCAAGTCTAAGCAAAATTTTGCAAACGGAGCTGTTCGTAACTCGAAATGTTCGTAAGTAGGGATGTTCGTAAGTCGATGTACCACTGTATGTGACATGGCTTTTGCTATGAACTTCTTTAAGGGTACATGGTGGAAGATGTTTTTCTGTTGGAAGGAGATTCTTCCACCCATCTAGTCATCTTCTGTATGTGGTATGTGTGCAGTGTACTGTTTTCTCCCTGGTCTCTGGTGGCGAACTATCTTGGCTTACATTGGTGTTCACCAGATGTTGGACTGCAACTGTCTTGGCCATAGCCAGTGTAACCAATGGTAAGGAATGCTGGGAGTTGTAGTCTGAAAACATCTAGATGATTAGACTTGGCCTCCTGCCACTGTTGGCCTCATATCTGCTTGTACAGCCGCATGAACACAAAATGTCCTAAGAACTTCAGCTCTTTGCCACAAGGAAGCATTGTAACCTTTTGACCACTTCAGCATGTGAAGCCCTATAAGGAACAAAGGGTTTCTGTGAAAACTTAAATGTGCTCACTTACCCTCACCCATTCCTCTGTTGCCATGTTTTGTAGGATGAGATCTTGTTTGCCCCAGTACATTATCTTAACCAGCAAAGCTCCTGCGAGGTGCATATATTTACAGAAGACACCGATAAGCCATGTGTATACATTTTTTAACTATAAAGATTTTTTTCCCATTCTCTCACAGACTTGCTGCTCTCCAACAGCTGTGTTCCATTCCTGGGCTCGGCAGAGGGGCTGGATTTTCGGACCCTGCTGCTCGATGAGGAAAGAGGTCGGGTCTTACTCGGAGCAAAGGACCACATTTTTCTGCTCAGCTTGGTTGATTTAAACAAAAATGCAAAGAAGGTCAGTTTATAGTATGCCTCTATATTTATACAGTTCCACTGATAAAGTTTGTTTTTAACCGGTCTGCCTCCCCCGAGTGTTCACTGGGTGAAGAGAATGTCATGCATCGTTGGATCAATTTAATAACTTCACCCCACCCCCCGTTGTTCCATGGTTTGCTTTTAATAAACTAAGTTTGTCAGCATATGTGACCTCCCGTAGCAGCAAAGCAATATAATATGACAAATATCACTGGACTTCTGCCCTCCATTGAGCTAGAATGTAAGCAAAGGGTAACATCTCTTTCGGTCTCCCCCCCCCCCATGTATTATGACAATGAGTCCTAAGTGAAATCACTCTTCACTTAGCTACAGTATATTCTTAGCATATCAATTGACCTTTGTGCTGGTTTGAGTGGCCAAACATTTGACCCTTTACAGTAGGCACTCATTCTTAGCATATCAATTGACCTTTCTGCTGGTTTGAGTGGCCAAAACATTTGACCCTTTACAGTAGGCACTCAGGCTTTATCATGTTTTTTTTAAATAATTCAGTTTCTCTCTCTCTCTCTCTCTCTCTCTTTCTTTCTTTCTCTCTCTCTCTCTCTCTCTCTCTCTCTCTCTCTGTGTGTGTGTGTGTGTGTGTGTGTGTCCTTAGGAGTAACTTCTTAGACCATAAATTACCACACTTTATCCTTCCCGAGTTTTTAATAATGAGCCTCCTTGGATCAATAATTAAAGCTATTCAGACCCCTAAAGCATGACTTAAGATAAACCAGACACTTAATGATTCAGTAATTAGTATATTTAAAAGACAAAATCAGCTGTATTGTTTCCCTTGGGCCAACATTCTGAATCCAGTGTATTGCACATTTTGTCTTCATGCCTTATTCATATTAGGAGCAAGTAATGAATGGCTATGAGAGTAAGAAGCTGACACCAGTTGACCACCACAGATTGAATTGCTATTAGATGATACAAACCCTCAAAGGCTTTGTCAACACAAGCAACCAAAGGAATGAGGTGGTAGAATCCTGAGGTGGTAGAACAGAGGGTATTGCTTCATGCTGCAGGTGGTAGCTAAACTGAGGGAAAGCTTCTAGCCCAGACTGAACCCCATAGTACTAGTTTTCAGTTGTTAGTGTTCCGTAGTAGAACAAATATATGATCTTTACTAGGACTCTGAAGTACTGCAGTCCATTCGACCATTCTCCTCCCTTCCACAGGCAGAAAAGATCCAGCACAATGCTTTTTCATGTAAATAGTTCAAAAATTCAGCTGAGAATTATTGGGTAATGGATCAGAATTAGCAAATGGAGAGACAAATATCTGAATGTGCGATCAACTCACAACTCTGCATTCAGAAATAGCAGCAGTGGAGCTCATGATTTCCCTGAAAGAAAATGAAGCTTACTTGAGGCAAAATAACTGAACAGTACACTTTTCTGCCCTTTAAAAAAATGATCCTTCCACCTTCCCCCAAAATGCACAGAAACATGTTTGTGTGTACATTTCTTCATTGATTAAAACATTCAGTCATTTAGACTGAGGAATGTCTTATAGATTAAAAGGCATACAAAAGCACTATGTATTCATAGATCTATGTTGGAACAGAGTTTGCTAAACTCTGCTTAACAGAAAGCTGGCAGTACGAACAGTGTATGATGATGGCAGTGAACGTTTTTCTTTTCTGTCAACAGTTTAAACCATGCAGTATGGGAACCAGATGCTTGCATGATGATAACCCTTTTAAAACACAATTTTCATATAAGATGTCGGTATAATTGTGGAAAACCCTTTTATATAATAAAAAAAGTGTTCTGGGTATAAAAAGGTTTATTCCACTGCCACCCCACCCTAGAAAAAAAAATTAAGAGAAAGCACATTTAAAAACAAACATTTTTGCTGGTTATTTCAGATAGCAGATTCAGATTTCATGGCAGGGAAGGGAATACATGCATTTAAATTGCTCACTTAGGCTAGAGTGCCAAAGAAATTCATTTATATCCAACTGTAGTTTAATTGAAACAATCATGGAGGGAAAACAATAACATTGAGTCTTGTGGCACCTTAAAGACTCTCAGGTTTTATGCAGCATATGCTTTTTTAACTATAGCTCACTTCTTCAGTTGCAGTGAAATGCAGTGCCAAGGTTACTCAGTAAATTCCTCATTCTCATCAATTTAAGCTTATAGGATGAGAAATCTCACCGCCCCCCCCCCATAGAATGCTACTGTTATTTGTGGAAAATGCATCCAGTGCCGTTTCCCTTTGGGAAACAAAGCATGCATCCACACTTCAAGCACAAGAGGGACTAGTTTATTGCTAAGAAAGATGAAAACACTCAATCCAGTGCTTCACATTCCTCAGTGAAAAAAGCATTCACCCTGGTCTGGGGCAGTGCTCACAATTGTGTCAACTGTGCAGTATTGTTAAAACTGGCCAGTTCTTGCCAATGTGAGAACTACTTTGAGACTGCTGGCAAGATGCCTTGCCATTTTTGCAGATGTGATAAAGAATACTATACTCCCTTATCTTTGCACTCAAGAACCAAGACCAATGAGAATTCACATACCTGTTTTGTTGTTATGTGTCTTCAGGTAGCTCCCAACTTATGGTGACCCTATGAATGAGCAATCTCCCAGACGTCCTCTCCCTGCTACAATTGACAAAAGCTGAAATTTAGTCTTTAAGATCTCTTGAGACTCCCACTTGCTTTTGATGCAACAGATGCCCTTGGAAATCATTTGATGGATGTGTGGGGTGGAAATCTTTATTTGTGTGCTTGTTTGTTCTTACTCAGCATTTAAACAGCATTTTATGAGTGAGAGAAGTGCCTTCCATATGCTCTCTTGGTAATCATTACAACAGTCCTTTAAGGTAGATAAATATTTTATTTATTTAAAAAGGAACCCAGAGAGCTTACCTCGTTAAACAGACAATAACAAACAACAGTATAATTATTATCATATTACATCTCAGCAGGGAGTGACAAACCAGCATCCTTAAGGCCACCAAGTTAGACTGGAACTACAACAAATATAGAGATCATGGCTGTTATCCTAAACAGCAGTTCCATGACTCCTTTTCCATATTATATTTAGTAGTATAAACCGTATGTCTAGGTGTCGTCATGCTTAGAATACCCCCAGCACCAGCATTAGATCTTCAGAAACTCCATTATGAATAGATTTGATCCATATTTCCTCAAATGTGTAGATCAGAAGATGCAATGTGGTAGTTCTAATGTTACACCAAAATTCTTGGCTCAGAAAATGTAACAAAGTGCTTTTTAAAGTGTGTATTCTAAGAGAAAAATCCCTGTCTTATGAGAAAATACATAAATGCATTTCTCATAAATGTATGTACCTGAGCAAATATATATATATGAAAGAAATTGTAAGTAGAGGGCAGTGAATTTAAGAGTGAACACGGGATGTGGCATAGACTGACTGTGGTAACTGGAGCCCATCCCTAGCTCAGAGGCTGCTGTTGGAGAGCCAGGTTGAATACATAATGCTGTGGTGTAAAAATTATACATTTTGTGTCCCTTAGATATTTTTGGGGAGATGTAGTTTCAGGACTGAAGCATATACTAATTGGTTAATGGGAGATGGGAGATCTGAACTGCAGCTAACTCTTTGAGCCTCTGTGTCAAAACATTCTGTACACTCCAAAATAGTGCTGAAATAATGGAAAACCCACAAGAGGCATGCAGTTTCAAGTTCAATGTTTCATGCTGAAGAGACACCACACATTTTTCCTTGCTACAGATATTTGGATGGAGCAAATGCTTGCAGCATCTTGAAGCCAGTAAACAAACATCCAGGCAGATCTTCTGGTCAGCTTCTACTGGTCTTGGTTTCCTTTGCTTGTGCTTAGGGACTTGCGGGGATAAATTACAGCTTCTGTTTACAGTTTTCCAGCTGAGGCTGTCTATTCCTGATAAGCTTTTCTCAGAGGTTTATCACAGGCCATCACTACAGAGCAGCAATTTTTAAGTACTATAAAAGGTAAGCTGCTATTTGCACTTCTTTTCTCTCTGCCCTAATCCCAAAGGGATGTGTGGGTGCGCAGGTCTTTTGGCAACCCGCCTACCTAGTAAAGAACCACAATGTGGATTTATAGGTCTGGTTTTCAGAATGTTGGTTCAGAGGGCCTCCCTGACTGTCCATCTTTCTCTTCAATTACTCTTTGTAGTCGCCCCCCCTCACAATATCCATAACACCCCTGCTGGTTTTTGTGTATATCAGACTCACTTAAAAGACTCCAGTGCTTGAAAGGTACTCCCCAGTAGCAAATAAGTGTCAGAATGTGGTGTTTGTGCTGTGTGGTGTTTAGACTGACTGTGGTTTGCCTTGGCTAGGTGCCACCCGGCTTTGCTCCAAGCTTCCCTGTGTGTGAGGGAGTGAGACAGGATGGGAGCTGTGAGGGCATGAAGTGTCTCCTTTGTGCTCCGTGGAATTTAGAGTCATCTGACAAAATAGGTTCCTCATCAGGTAGCCCCTAGGGACTGAAGCAGTAAATTAGAATATTAAACTTCTTCCTCCGTGTGATGCTAGTGTAAATGCCTCTGAAGCAAGGTGACTGGGAAACAAGGCTCTTTGACACTTTGATGGATACAGCAAGTTAAAGTGGGAATTGTGCTTGTTGAATAAATAAGATGCTTTTTATCCTTTAAGTTCCCTAAAGTAAATATGAGTTCTACTGAGCCTTATAAATCTAGTGAAAAGAGGTGCATGCACAAAGATGATTGATCGCCTGGGAAGTGCTGACCAAGTGGTATCTAAAGCAGTGCCATTAATGTTGCAATATTGATATGCTGAGCTTTTTAGGAGTATTATCAAAATATACAGTATAGACAACAAGTCTGTGTCATAGGTAGTTACAACAACCCACCCATGTTGTGGTCTGTGTCATTTCCAGCTTGCTCACAAAATTACTCCCAAGCTGATGATACTTTTACAGTGACAAAGTAGGATATGGTTAGGGGACTGTTCCTTAAGTACCAAATGTGCATGA